TAATTATTAATATAATATATATATATATATATATATATATATATATATATATATATATATATATAATTTTTTATTTTATAAATGATATACAAACTATATAATCAAATATGTTTCTATTTTTTTTATTTATTTATTCATTCTTTTATTCATTTTATAGAATATTGTTGCATAAATTTAGTTGTGTGAGGTCATGTATGTGATGTGTGTGTTTGCTATAGGATGGGATGGAAGTGATTTCTCCTGAGGAGGAGGTGATGGATTCAGATGATAACACTGAAGAAGATCTGGGTGTGTTGGATGACCAGAGGAGCGTCATTCTGCATCTGCTGTCTCAACTCAAACTGGGCATGGATCTCACACGGGTGTGAATCACAACAACACATCAGTAACACATCAGTATCAGTATTTGACTTTAAGGTGTCTATCTGTGTGCAGGTTGTTCTTCCCACATTCATCCTGGAGAAGCGTTCACTGCTGGAGATGTACGCTAACTTCATGGCGCACCCGGACCTGTTCCTGTCCATCTCTGCCGGAAGCACCCCAGAGGAGCGTATGGTGCGTTTCGTTGAATATTACATGACCGCCTTCCATGAAGGACGTAAGGGTGCCGTCGCCAAAAAGCCCTACAACCCGGTGCTGGGCGAGACCTTCCACTGCTCATGGGAGGTTCCACAAGATCGAGTCTGCCCTCTGAGGACTGAGACCAACCCCAAGACTAATCAGGAGGTGACGGGGGCGGGGTCAGACCCTTACAAGGTGCGTTTCGTGGCAGAGCAGGTTTCCCATCATCCTCCGGTGTCTGGGTTTTACTGTGAGTGTGCTGAGAGAGGCATGTGCGTCAACACACACATCTGGACCAAGAGCAAGTTCATGGGCATGTCAGTGGGCGTCTCTATGGTAGGAGAAGGTGGGTAAATTTTCACTCAGAGGTTGCTAGTAAATTTCACAATTAAAGGGATTGTTCATGCAAAAATAAAAATTAGCTGAAAATGTACTCATCCTCAGGCCATGCAAGATGTAGATGAGTTTGTTTCTTCATCAGATGTGGAGAAATTTAGCATTACATCACTTGCTCACCAGTGGATCCTCTGCAGTGAATGGGTGCCATCAGAATGAGAGTCCAAACAGCTGATAAAAACATCACAATAATCCACAAGTAATCCACACCACTCCAGTCCATCAGTTAATGTCTTGTGAAGTGAAAAACTGTGTTTGTTAGAAATGAGTCCATCATTAAGATGTTTTAACTTCAAACTGTCCTTTATCCATAATACTGCTTTCTCCAGTGAAAAGTCACCTCGTCTGAATCAGGAGAAAAATATGCACAGATCAAGCCCAGTTTATAAGTGAAAACAGTCAAGAACAGTTCTAAACAAATATGTTGGTGGATTTTTATGTGATAGTACAACAGGAGATGGACTTATGATGCTTACATATGTTACAGTATGTTACGATATGTTTACTAGTTGCTCTTGTGTAAAGTTATATATATATATGTATATACACTGAAGAAAATTATGAACGCAACACTTTTGTTTTTGCCAACATTTTTCATGAGCTGAACTCATGAAAAGATATTACTTTTTCTATGTACACAAAAGGCCTATTTCTCTCAAATATTGTTCACAAATCTGTCTAAATCTGTGTTAGTGAGCACTTCTCCTTTGCCGAGATAATCCATCCACCTCACAGGTGTGGCATATCAAGATGCTGATTAGACAGCATGATTTTTGCACAGGTGTGCCTTAGGCTGGTCACAATAAAAGGCCACTCTAAAATGTGCAGTTTTATCACACAGCACAATGCCACAGATGTCGCAAGTTTTGAGGGAGCGTGCAATTGGCATGCTGACTGCAGGAATGTCCACCAGAGCTGTTGCCCGTGAATTGAATGTTCATTTCTCTACCATAAGCCGTCTCCAAAGGCGTTTCAGAGAATTTGGCAGTACATCCAACTGGCCTCACAACCGCAGACCACGTGTAAGCACACCAGCCCAGGACCTCCACATCCAGCATCTTCACCTCCAAGATCGTCTGAGACCAGCCACCCGGACAGCTGCTGCAACAATCGGTTTGCATAACCAAAGAATTTCTGCACAAACTGTCAGAAACTGTCTCAGGGAAGCTCATCTGCTCATCAAGCTCAAGTCTCCTCATCGGGGTCCCGACCTGACTGCAGTTCGTTGTCGTAACCGACTTGAGTGGGCAAATGCTCACATTCGATGGCGTCTGGCACTTTGAAGAGGTGTT